AGCCAAATCGGAACCGTGTGGAGAAGTTGTCGCTGAAAAGGATTCTTCGTCGCGATCACCGTGTTTTGAGAGTTACCGTCTCCATGGAGATGCTCGATAGTCACCTTTGACGCGACACTCCACGCAGACCCGCACTTGCTGTTTGAGTAAGCGTGGAGGTTGTCAATAGTTGTACCATCGGTCTCCACGCTCACAGATTGCACGGGCAGCTGAAAAGAATTCTCTCTCATGTTCGTCGCCATCTGAGCGCTATCATCTCCACGGAGGTTGTCGATAGTACTACTAACGGTCTCCGTGAAAACGACGACACTCCCATGATTCGCAGACCCATGCTCACTGTTTGAGTAGCCGCGGAGATTGTCGATAGTTCTACTATCGGTCTCCACAGTCACAGATTGCACGGGTAGCTGACATGGGGATCGCGGCAACAGGTATGGGTCTGATGTTGGCGGCGGTACGGCGGGTCGGCTCTGACGGCGGAGATGGCAGCGAGGGGTATGGCGATGGGTATGGCGGCGACGGGTATGGCGGTGACGGGTATGGCGGAGGGTATGGCGGCGACGGGTATGATGGGGTCGGCTCTGACGGCGGAGATGGCAGCGACGAGTATGACGGCGGCGGCTCTGGTGGCGTATATGGCGGCGACGGGCAGATGGGGTCGGTTCTAACGGCGGAGATGGCGACGACGGGTATGACTGAGTCCGCTTGAACAGAAAAGACCCCGGCGACGAGTACGGCGACGGCTCTGGTGGCGGAGATGGAGACGACGGGTATGACTGGGTCCGCTCTAACGGAGAAGATGGCGGCGACGCGTATGGCTGGGTAGGCTCTGACGGAAAGGATCCCGGTGGGGATAGCAGCAAGCTTCTTGAAATAAGCGATCAGTCGCGTTCGCCCCTCGGGCTTAAAATTCAACGAGTGAGGCCTGACCTTTTTTATCATCTAAGTCCGAGGATAACCTGGTCGGCATTTTACCAAATGAGTGCATCAGAGAAATATGATCGTTTTCAGCAAGCAGATTGCGCGACAGTATTTCACCTGTCCCGCAATCACGATACATTGGAAGTACTGTACCAGACGTGTACAGTACTGTATCATATATGCTTGAAAGGGGTTCATGATCACAGTCTTGTGGAAGATTCGCGAAGTTCTTTTTACTCATCTCCCTTTAATATTCAATGCTCAGTTCCGAGAGAAACTATTACTTACGAAGTTATAATATCTAGCACAATGTTTGCTCTAGTTTCCAAGCTAAGTGATTGCTATTTGACCACCTTTCATTTCAAGGTTAAAACGATGTTTGGAACAATTAAACCAGAACTGGCAACAGATTGTCCACCTCGCTCACTTTATTATGTATTATTAAAAGTCGTACAACCGCGCTTTAGTGATGTCATAAAAACGTGGACATCTTGAAACACTTTTCAAAAAGACCGGATTTGGATTGATCGCGATGAATAGTATGGTCGTTTTGAAATACCGATTGTTGCCTCCAACCTAAGATTCGCTATTAGCCATGCCATGACTAATTTGAGTGAGCTGTCTACTGTTGGGGAATCGCCCCCCCCAATTCGCCCTTCATGTTTGTGATTGAGAGGCCTTACATTCTAGGGACAGCTTTATTGCAATATTTGAAGTAAATGATTTATTTCTCGAAAAAGGTTACAAAAACTAAGTTACATCAGTAGTATGACTAAAGTTTATTTGCTCAAGGATTTGTCGGATCGTTGACACCAGCTTCGTCCCATATTTAGCTTGTTTTTAACGCTGCGATCGGCCATATTGCCTTTTTTCTCCTTTTATTTTACTAGGTCGTCAATCAAAATGCGCAAAAACGTGATGTTGTATCGCAACTAAAGTTCGAGCTAGAAACAGCAATTATCAAATTTTCTAACGTCTTTCCCATACAGCTTTTGAATTCACAAGTAACTTTATTACATTCAATCCATAAATAGAATGAATATTTAATTCTACAGCTCAAAAGCACGGCATTGAACGATGGAATTTTTGACGCCAAACGATTTACAAAAAAAATAGAGCGGACCAACCAAACATAGTTCAAGCTTAATTCATGATAGCTAAACTCTAAATGGATACTCCCGTCACTGATGTACTGGGAAGTCTTCGAAGCCTGTTGTAGCAACGATTCAATAGTCGAGTACATGTCTGCGGCCGAATAAGAGAAGCGTGAACTTTGGCTACAAGCGCTGCTAGCACTCTGACTGGACGTTGTGCTCTCGTTGTCGCTGTCGTATTTCCACGTCGCTGAGCCAGGTCCACTCATGCCACCCAAGCCAAGACCACGCACCTTGGCGTATGACAGACTGGTGAGTCGATCCATCGTCTCCGCTTGAGACAACGGTGGGGAGTCTACCACAGACTCACTGTCAATATCGTAGAGGTCAATAATCGAATCAGCACGTCTAGTACTACCTCTAGAATCGCATGAAGATCCGAACGAGTGGTTGGCTCGACCGCGAGGCTTGAGGAAGACGTGCGACTCCAACGCGAGAGTATTACGTATTCAAGCTATTATACTTTTATAGTGGGGTTGGCACAGTGCCCAGGGTTAGGTAATATAAAAATATAACCTAATATTTTCTTCTGAGACCATGTGATATTATTAAATAATTTAGTATTAGTTAATTCGATATTATTTGATTTTAAAGTTTTGTAATCGTTTTATATCCACCAATCATACGTCGTTACCGTTCGACTAGCTGAAGTATTAATAATCAACCGTGAGGGAGGCAAGGTTAGCGTCGTGTGTTGGCACTGCTGAGCGCATTAATCTAGCGTTACAGGCTGCAGGTTTATTAGATGCACGATTTGGACGAGGCTAACAAGAACAAATACCTTGATCTCGCTCTATCGACATGGAACAACTGCAAGCGCTTGCAGTTTTCTATCTCGGTCGCCTTTGCCTGTGTCCCAGTGAAATACTCGAGCAAATACTGGTCAGTCTTAAAGCCTACTGCTGCTCTAGAGCCGGACCTAAAAAGTTCTTTGGTGAGCCCTCGGTTGCAAGATACGTACTTAAGTGAGAAAAATCATAAAATATAAGCGTGTATCAAATCTTCGAGCTAATATTAAAGTAATCTTCGAGCTAATATTAAAGTATTAGGCTAGCTTTTTAAAAAATGAGCTACTACAATATCTAATATCGAATATAATAATATTACTATCAAAAAATATCATTTGATATTTAGCTACCATGAGCCCCTGCTAGTAGCAGTGCTACTGGTTCATGTACTTGCATTGTATCGGGACATGTTAAATGTTGTCGCGCAATCTGCTTGTTGAAGACGTCATGCATGGTATTTTAGTTACATGTAATTATATATTGAGAGGGACTTCTGCTGTGTATCTTGATTAGTCACAAGCACTGATGAGTTCCACAGTCAAAATGAGTCGAAGACGAAGGAAACCGTATACATGTTTTACGTATTCAAGCTATATTTATAGTGGGGGTTGGCACAGTGCCAAATGTCATGTGATATTTTTGACAGTAATAGTTAAATTCTTGATATTAGATATCAATAGTAGCCCACTTTTTCAAAAGCTAACATATTACTTGAAATCTTAGCTCAGAGATTTAAAAAATAATAGATTTTATTCTATTAATAGTGCTTGTTGGGCGGTTGAAAAACATCTATCTGCTTCTCCCTTCGTTTCTAGTTCATAAAAGTAAAAACTAATATTTTGGCTAAGCCCTGCTTAATCGACCCTAACTTTTATTCTGCCTGACTGGGTTGATCTTTTTTTTAACGGTACAGGCGTACTCACAGCTGGAGCCATGAAACTGGATTGAAAATGTCAATGCCATTGATTTTAATTTTGCAGGCGAGCTGTTCACTTAGTACTATAAGCTAGATACTAAAAAATGGATAGCCGTACACTTACGTATCCATCACCTTACGCGATGATCTCCTGCCAAGGTGACGGGTTCCAGTCAGGGAAGAACTTGGCAATCGTGGCCTTCACCTCGTCTTCCGTCCCCGAGATGTCGCGAGAACTTCTTGTACAAGCACATGGGATAGAAAAGATGATGAGGATCATCCAATAAGGTGTGGCGAGCACCGCTGGAGAAGCAGAACGACCAAGTGCAGTACAAGCACCTGATGATATCGACAACAATTACAAACATGTGCAGTTGACGGCAAGGTTGAATTTGTACGTGTTGCATGTGAACAGTAGAAGTTACCGAGTACTAGACCAAGGAGACGCCTAGAGTGCAAGAACAATAAGAACGCAGAAGTACGAAGGTAGCTAAACTCAATCAGATCTCAATTTACCTGTTCAAGAACACTTATACTGATTGCAACGTTTGAGACATTTTGCCAAGTTCTTCAGTTACAAACCTCTCAAAAGAGCTACCATATACACAAGCGTGACGACGCTTTGCGACATAGTAGAAATTGCAAGTTCCAACGAGAGCGATGGAGACACGACGCCAAGCAGCGAACCGACGCCTCACATTGGCTAACGGTGAGCATGACGTTGTAAACGACCGTGTCCAGCGAGTTGAAGAGACACTGAGCGAGATGGACGAGAGAATGGCCCAAGTCAACCATCGGCTTGACCGCGTCCTGGAAGGCATCGATGCACTCGTGCAGACCGTTGCTGCGGCTCAGCATGCTACTCAAGCTAACGCTGAAGCTGCTAATCAGTTTCAAGAGGTTACAGCGCAAACAGCGGCAGCGGTAGCTGAACTGAGCGCCCACATTGGAGCTATGGGGCATGTTGAGGAGCTGGCTCAGCAGACAACTGCAGCCGTGGCCCATATCCAACAACAGCCAACTGGCACACCGAGTCAGATCAATACTCTTCCACAAGTTGGTGAGCAAGACATTGAGATGGAGGCGCCAGCAGAGTGAAAACTGCGCAGAATGGAGACGAAGCCGCCTGTGTTTGAAGGGGATATCGACGGTCTCAAGCTCGTAGTTTCATATTCCAGTTTGAAGCGTATGTTACCTCCAAGGGTTACGACATTGCTGAGGATGACGTCGTGGTGGCCCGAGAACTCAGCCAGTGTGTGAAAAAGAATGCAGCAACGGGGTATGCAACGTACATGAGGAACCCAGAGACCATGAAAACTTGGAGTGCGATGAAGTTCTCGCTCGAGAAGAACTTTAAAGAGCCCAACTTCCTGCAAAAAAAATGAGGAACGAGCTACTGAATTTCAGACAGAGCGGCACTTACCAAGGCTATGTGGCCAAGTTTCAGGAGAAACTACGACTGGTGCCAATGGACCCTGCTTTTGCAAAAGAACTTTTCCTCAAGGGTCTAAGCAACAACAACCTTCGCAAGCAAATCCTGCAGAAGAAGCCCATGACACTGGAAGATGTGATTAGCGAAGGCTTCAATGAGGTTGAGCTGGAGCGTATGGACGAAACCGAGTCATCAACACCAAACCAAGGGACCAAGACTCATGGGAAGTCCAAATCCAGCTTTAGTGCACCGCGGCACAAAATTGCAAAAATCAGCCGTTATATGCGAGGTGATGGAAGAAAGAAGACGAAATGCTCTCATTGCCAGCGTGGATACCACAATGAAGATGACTGCTGGGTTAAAAATCCTGATAAACGGCCCAACTTCCTCCAAAACAAGTTTGGCAAGGCTGCGAACTCTGCCAAGACTGACTACAAAGCCAAATACTACGCTCTTATCGACAAGCTCATTGTAGACGACGAGGACACGTCCACGTCGCCTTTAAACGAGTAAAGCCGTTTGATGCCGGGCGATCAGACGGGTTTAGTCCCAAGCCCATTAAAAGGGACAAGCGTGGTTTGATGAAAGGAGAGGAGGGTGAAGCAGCAGAGGAACGCCAATCCGTGTTCATCCATGCTGGAGAATGTTCTAGTCATCCGTTTTTGACTTTGAATTGCAGTCTTTTGGTGAACGAACGGATCGTGAAAGCGGATGGATTTATGGACAGTGGTGCATCGATCAACGCTGTGACTCCGGAATTTGTTGAGCGTCTGGGTTTGATGGATACTGTTCATGAGCGGCATACCATGATATCGTTGACAATGGCAAACTCGACAAGTGTTGTGTTACCGAAGCGAACAGTGGAGTTAGCGGTTCACGTGGAAGGATGGAGCCATACGATGCTGAGTTTCTCTTACTACCAGTACCAGACCGAAGGGACATCCTACTTGGTATGCCATGGCTTCAAAGAGTGAACCCTCGCATTGACTGGCGTACCGGGAGTATTCGACCGTCGATGGCTGTCTTGCGGACTCGACTAGCAAAATTAATGGCCAGACACAAGCAAAGTCGTACCAAGCCGTCTGTGGCTACTAGTGCTGAAAGGCAGTCTTTTACTATATGGAAACTGGGGAAACAAAGGTTATTTCGCTGAAACAATTGCGTCGACTGCTGAAGAAACCTCGTGAAGTGGGATACGTCTTTGTCTTTCAACCCCCGAGTAGTAGCCCGATTAAAGAGCGATAAACATCGACGACTACGCGGATCATCCCGTGTACCCGTATTTGCAGAAGTATGCCGGTTTGTTTCGTCAAAGACTGCCTGCTGAACTACCTACTGCATCACACGGACAACATGATATGGATGTGAAAAACAACGATGCAGTCTTTCGTCGGCAAAGGAGACAGTCACCGGAACAAGAAGCGGAGATTATGCGGTGGGTACGGAAGATGGAGGAAGCTGGTCTCATTCGACCGTCTACTTCGCCTCATGGTGCGCCTACCTTTTGCGTCCGGAAGCCGGATGGCTGGCGGATTGTGCATGACTTTCGCGCTATGAACTTGAACACTGTCCGTCGTACCATGCCGATGCCAAGGAAAGACAAAATTCTGGAGCAAATGCAAGGCTCATACTACTTTTCTTGTCTTGACCTGCTAAGTGGATATTATCAATTTCGGATGAGGGAGTGCGATATACCTTATACGGCGTTCCAAGCACCGAATGGATTGTACGAATACTTGGTGGTTCCAATGGGACTATCAAACGCACTTGCTACATTCAACGCTGGAATTCGACGTGTTTTGGAGGACATGATGGATATCTGCCAGAGCTATTTCGACGACATCTATGTATTTACTCGAAGTACCAGTTTGAATGAGCACTTGGCAGCTCTAGATCGTGTTTTCGCTAGACTTCATGAACCCAAGTTCTACGTAACACTGAGCAAGTGTGTCCTCAGCGCACCTTCGATTCCGTGTCTTGGGGACATTGTCGAACGTGGAGGCGTCCAGATCAACCCCGAGAAAGTCCGAGTCATTCGGGAGTGGCCACGTCCTGCGACCAAGCATGACTTACAGTCATTCCTGGGTACGGCCGCGTACGTCCAGCGCTTTTGTCGTGGGTTTGCTGAAGATGCTGGACCGCTGTTTAACTTACTGAAGAGCGAAAATAAGCAAGTTGAGTGGACGGACGACCTGACGGAGCATTTCAACCGACTCAAGAAGAAAGTTGGACAGACACCGGCTCTTGCAATCGCTGATTTCAGCAAGGATTTCTTTTTGAGGATGGATGCATCGGATTTCGCTATGGGTGGAGTTATCTTCTAGAAGGAATTACATGATGGAGTGGAGGTTGAACGACCAGTAGCTTTTGGAGGTCGGAAATACAAGGCAGCTGAGTTGAATTACTCAATTCGTGAAAAGGAGCTGCTAGCAATCCTATTTGGACTTCGTACTTGGCGAGTGTATCTACTTGACAGACCATTTATCGTAGAAACAGATCACAAGAGCTTGGAGACAATATTCAAGCAGAAGTCGATCTCCCGTCGAATTGCGCGATGGTATGATGAGCTTTCGGAGTACCAATTTACAATCCATTATATCCCAGGCCAAAACAATGACGCTGCTGATGGGATATCCAGGAGACCCGACTTCCAGTCGACGGCCGAGCCGGTTACACTAGCTACTATTGCCACCCGAAGTCAAGTGCGTCAGCGTGTGGATGTCTCATTGTCTGTGACCGTCACTGGGGCCGTTCGATGCTATAGTGAGGACGAGACGACAAAAGCGCTACTGCAGCTGCTTGACGTGAGCACTACCGCGCCGCAAAACGATGCTGTGTTATCAGCTGCTCTTCGACATCTCGAGCGCTATTCGCTATGTGAAGGACGACTGTACTATCAGGCAGGTCATCATACAACGCCCAGGCTTGTCTTGCCTCGCGTTCCAGCACTATTGGAGCACGTCCTCGAAGAATTCCATGACAGACCTGTCTACGGACATATTGGAGTCGACCGTACTTGCCGTCTTGTGGAGGAATATTATTACTGGCCTCGAATGACAAGAGAAGTTACGAAGTACGTGAAGGGCTGTGAGACTTGTGTGCGGACAAAGGCTCGGAATGCGAAACCTCCGGGGTTGCTGCACAGTCATGCCATACCCGTTCAGCGATGGAGTCACATTGCGATGGACTTCATAACGGGTCTACCAAGTACATCTCGCGGCTATGACAGTGTGATGGTCGTCATCGACCACCTGACGAAGAGGGCACATTTTGTGGCCGGGAATTGTACCGACAATGCTGAGACTGTAGCTCAACGCTTCCATCAGGAGATTTTCCGGCTTCATGGCTTACCAAATGTGGTGGTCTCAGACCGTGATTCAAAGTTCACATCGACCTTTTGAAAAAAAAAACTGTGTGAACTGTTGGGTATTGGGCAAAAGATGACGACCGCATTCCGACCGCAAGGAGATGGGGTGAGTGAGCGCCTCAACCAAACACTGGAGAACTACCTTCTAGCTTTTTCTAACGCCGATAGTGACGACTGGGACTTGCATCTATGCCTCGCTGAACTTCGTACAACATTCAATTCCAGGCAGCGATACAAATGTCCCCGGATATTGGCTACATTCCAAGAACGTCCGCAACGCTAAACGTGCCATCGACTCGGCTTTGTCAAGCGAAACACTCAGAATTCATTGCTTCTCAAGTCTACACTTTAGCAAAAGCGAGACGCTGCATAGCTGAAGCGCAGGATCGTATGGCTGAATTCAACAACAGGAACCGGCAACCGCAGAACTTCAATGTTGGTGACGAAGTTTTGCTTCCTGGTCAGCACCTTGCTGCACGACACCTCGGAACAACCAAGAAAAAGCTAGGAGCTCGATGGGTGGGTCCGTTCGAGGTTGCGAAATGTATTGGCCGTGGTTACTACCAATTGAGGCTACCTCCGAAGCTACGGATGCATCCCGTATTCCACACGAGCCTACTCAAACCATACATTTCCAAGGAGCTCCGTCGTCAGCGCCAAACAGTATTCAAGGTCCGACTGGCTGATGGATCTGAAGGGGAACTGGTGGATGATATCGTCAACTACAAACGTGTGAGGGGCAAGCCGTTCTACGAAGTCAAGTGGCTAGGTCAGCTCAAAACGATTTGGGAGCCGGCCGTCAACCTGACATCCCTTGCTGGATTGATTGAGCGTTATCACGAACGCACGCGGAGGGCTCGCTAGAAGGAGAAAATGTCGCGAGAACTTCTAGTACAAGCACATGGGATAGAAAAGATGATGAGAAACGACAGCTGAGCTCCCTCGAGATAACGCTTCGTCGCAGTGACCAGCACGTGCGCGACGAAGCGGCTGCAATCCGCGCGCGTTACGATATTCAGCTTGGCGTCACCGTCACCCACAACGCTGATGAGGCCTTCGTCGAAATGGTACCCCAGGAAGCTACGAGTAAACATGAACAGCCTGTTATTCGGCGAAGACACCCACTCACTGTTGCAAAGGTAGACTCACAACGACAAGTACTCAGACCACAGACCACTGTGGAAGAGGTAAAAGGCAGCTCAAGTTTCTTCAGAAGATCGCGGACCTCCTGCTTGACGGTGTTGGTTCCGTCCGCTTCACGAAATCCAAACTGTAAGACATAAACGGGGGTAGTTAGCATGGTGACAAGAAAATCCCCGCCCCCCCCTCAATTTCCATACCTCTGTTGGCACAAATAGTTGGATACCTGCAGCTTTCGCTGCTTGGACGAACGTGAGTTGGATGGCGAGATGTTGTGAAGTGATCGAGCTCACACTATATAAAGAGTGAAGAGATTCGAGTAAGTCTTACTCAGAAAAATGAATGAGCAGGGTAATCAGAGGAGCTTACACGGTGTAGGATAATGCGTCCTAAGACACGTCCTAAACTGTCCTATTTGTCCTAAATTTTACAGGGAGATTTTGGAGATGTGTCCTAAAAAGCGACTAATCCTTCGTTACAGAATATTATAATTTGTGTCCTCCAGATTGTCCTAAACCTCAAATATTAACTTTTTCCGGACTATCTACGTAAATTTACGTAAGAGTTACTTAAAACTCACATTGGCTTTACTTATTGTCCCAACCATTTCTGAATCTCCACTACTGCAGCCAAGCATCATGGACCATTGCGGCTACTCCTTCTGCAGCTAGGGCGCTCGCCTATCTGGCCTCTGCTGCCACCTGCGGAAGCAGTGTCTTGTCCGCTCTGCTCACGAGCGCGAACATTCAACAGTGCGGCACGGACCACTGAGATCCCGGACCAGGCCACCATTGACAAGATGTGCGCCTCGACTGCCTGCAACACCCTGCTCGCTGACGTGAAGGCCATGAACCTGGAGGAGTGCCAACTGCCGGTCGGTGTCGGTTCCAACTTGAAGGCCGACCTGGTAGTCTACGTGCCGTCCAACTGCCCATCGACATCGGCTCCCAGCCCGGACTCGCCTGCCACAAACGCACCTGTTGTCGACACCCGACGACGCCAGACA